TCATCTTCAAAAAACAATGATTTGTTGTCATCGTTGCTACTAATAATATTATTGATTGATGGATCTTTGTATATTACAATGTAACCAATCAAATCAATTAGCGAATTTTTTAATTTTTTAAAAGTTTCCTTTTAACTAAATAAAATAAAGAATAAAATTTAACAAAAACAGAAGGGTCAATACACCCAACATGAGCCACCCACATGAGTTCCACCTTCCGCCATGTGGGACTTTACAGCCAGTCCAAAGTGAGGCATTACACCTAAGGAAGCCAGACACAGGGGACCTTATCTGGTACTTCATCATTGCATGACTTTTCCCTGGTCGATACTATCATAATAATTCTATGACTTATATACCAACTTTTTTCAAGTTGTGCAAAATATGGGATACCAACCAGTTTACAATATTTCATTGGATAAATTTATTCCATAATTTTTATTGTGTAATCTAAAAAAAAAATTCAACAAATAGACTGTTAAATACAAGATGTATTACAACATATGAAACTTCCAAAGCAAATTCATAAAATATGCTGATGAACGTTTATCAATTATTAAGTTTTGCAAATGAATGTCTCATCAATTATTGAGTAGCTTGTATTAAAGTAAGTGCTAAAGTCAAGATCTATGAAGCTGTTTGTAAAATATGTTTAATGAGTGTTTTATCAATTATTCTAATAATTATATAGGCAGGCTTGATCAAAGCAAGTGTTAAAGTTAAGATCTACTTGCAAATCAGGTTTCCAAAATGAACATCTATTATTATAGGTGAGTTTGATCGGAGTAAGTGTTAAATTCAAGATCTACAAAGCTGTTTGTAAAATATATTTAACGAATGTTTTATTATTATCAATTACTCAATAATTATATAGGTGGGTTTAATCGAAGTAATTGTTAAAGTAGTCGAGATCTATGAAGTTGTTTGTAAAATATATTTATCAACATTTTATTATTATCAATTATTCAAATAATTATATAGGCGGGTTTGATCGAAGCGAGTGTTAGTCGAGATCTATGAAGTTTTCAAAACAAATATTTATCAATTATTCAATAATTATATAGGTGGGTTTGATCAAAGTAAGTGTCAAAGTAGTCGAGATCTATGAAGCTGTTTGTAAAATATATTTATCAACGTTAATTATTCAAATAATTATATAAGCAGGTTTGATTGAAGTAAGTGTTAGTCAAGATCTATGAAGTTTGCAAAATGAATGTTTATCAATTATTCAATAATTATATAAGTGGGTTTGATCGAAGTAAGTATTAGCAATAGAAATAAAATGTACTTCCATGAAATATATTTTTGGTGCTAGGTGGGAGATAGCAGTATATTTTTTGCACATTTCTTTGATCAATGCAATAGTCTATTTATTAAATTTAAAATAAATGAATTTAGTTGTTCTTTCTATTTTTTTTTAATAACAAAGATAAATTCTTTCTGGAAAAATCACGTAAGTGACTTGCACTATATGAAGGTTATGTCGAGAGATATGGTCAAGAGAAGAGTTAGTAAGAGAGTTGTTTTTCGACCAAGTCGAAAACCAACCCTTTAAATACATCTTTGAGTAGTACAATTTAATTTATTAGACTATTTTGAAGGTTTGTCGCATGCTTTCTCCCAACTTCTTAATAATAATTACATTCATTTATTTTTTATAATTTTCATTTCATTCAAATACATACATATATAGACATACAACTTACAAAAGATCATGTCCCGGTCATTTATCATGATTGGACTTTCAGTGAATCAGGCTATGATATTCCCATTCATGAAGTGACTCTTGAACAATTTCTTAATTTTAAAAAGAAAGAGCTTTCCTTGAAAGGAAACAATAACAACAACAAACTTGATATTGATAATTTTTTAACACAAGATTGTGAAATTATTGAAGAATTCATTCATCCATCATCAAATACCAATAGTAACAACAATAATATTGGTGTTGGTGTTGGTGTTGGTAGTAGCAGTGGCAGCACCAATAATGCAATAATATTAAAAAAGCATAATAGTACAAGTTTTCTTGACTCACATAACAATTTGAATAGTAATACTGAAATAAAGTTTAAAGGTAATAGTGCCGGTTCAATTCAAGCACCATTTGCAACATTGGCTGAAACTTTTAAGGTAATTGTGATAATATTAGTAATATTATTAAATATAATAATATAATATATAATAAAAATGATAATTCCTTTTATAGAAAGTTCCAATCAACATTTGTTTCAATATAGAAATGAAATATCCAATGATTGACGAATCTGAATGTGACAATTTATCACTATTCCATACTGAATTGAATTTTTTTATTGACACCATATTACATTGTGTTTATGAAAACGCACAGCAAGATCGTAATAAAATATTTTCATCATTCCACCCAAGTGTTTGTCTAATTTTGGCTTTCAAACAACCAAATTGTCCAATCTTCTTCTTAACGGATGCTCGATATACAAAGATGGCTGATGCTAGGTGCAATTCAATTCACGAGGCTATCAAATTTGCTAAATTCTTTGATTTGTCAGGAATTGTTACATTAAGTGCAACAATTTTAGAGGCACCTGAGTTGATCAGGACAATCAAGAAAACTGGCCTGTTGTTGTTTACATATGGAAAGTTGAACAATAATGTAGAGAATGTAAAATTGCAAAGAAAGGCTGGTGTTGATGCTGTTATTGTGGTGATTTTATTTTTTATTTAATTAATTATTGATGATGATCAATCAGCATGATTATTTATTTTAATTATTTATATAATAATTGATGAATTAGGGATTCAGTTTTGGCAGTTATAAAAGGTTTGCAGCAAAATGAACAAGAGGAAAATACTGAAGAATAATTGTGAAATTATACATACACATAAGCATCTTTTCAATTTTTCATATTTTATTTATTTGTTTGTTTGTTTTTATTTTATCTATTATTTATGTTGTATATATATCAGAGAAAATTTTGTATAATAGTATTTATTGTATTTTTAGTTATTTATTATTTTTTTTTCAAAATTTTTGAATAAATATATTAAAATTTTTTTTATATAGTAATAGTGCAAGACACCTAATCCCGCAACTTTCTTCGTCACAACGACAGATTTGGGAAAAAATTCCCAATCAAAAATGCAATAAAATTTTGCGGTCACGTGATAATAATAATAAATAAAAATCTTTATTATATATATATATATATATATACGACGTCAAGTCGCTCCAAACGAATACTATTCTATGGTAAAACGGGGGGGGTTGTTCATTGTAAATAATTTAAATTTTTTTTATAATTTTAAATTAATAAATGTCACAACAAGATTACGTCGTTAAAAAAAAAAAATAAAAAAAAAAATATATATATATATACTGCAATTCTTTTTAACATATTTCTCCCAAGTGTATTCCCACCATGTAATATATTTTTGGTGCTAAGTGGGAATAGCACGTCTATTTATGCATTTCTTTGATCAATGCAATATTGTCTATTTTATTTCAACGTTATTATTATTATTATCTTTTTTATATTTGTAATTGTCACGTGATAAAGATTGGCAAATAAAAATTTAAAATTTTCAATTCTTCCCAATTCGTTCATTTTTAATATAAAACTATATAGTGATTCTGATTTCTAGTTTTTAATATAAAAAATCGCGTGTAACACGACAGTTTTGGGGTTAACATAGTAAACTCGTGCAACTTTGAAGCTAGATTTCTCCATGGTAATGTGACATATCAACAAAATGAAATCATTAGATTGTAGAGAAAGGTCTTAGCTTTAATTCTATATATGATTTGTTTTTTTTGGTGTTACATTTCCATTTTTGGAGTATTTAAAAGATATACATGACCAATAAAAAGTTGTGGGACTAGGTGTCCTGCACCATAGAATAACATTTTAAATTAAAGAATAAAAGTTTTTTCTATGGTGCGCCGCATCTAAAGACATCAAATGCTTCGAAAATTTTTAATGGTGATCCTTCCTGGTTAAGAAATCGTCTAGATATGGGTGCTTCGTATCTAATGACATCAAATGCTGCGCTTATTGCCGAAAATTTTTAATGCTGATCAGAAATCATTGTGAATTAAATTATACATAAAGTTTTTGGGAAGTAACTAAAGAAAAAATTGTAATTATTTATTTAAAGAATTAGAGAGAACTGTTCCTCTGGCATTGAACTCGGTTTCACTTTGTAAAATTGGAAAGTTTGCTAGAAGATGTTATAGATTAAGACTTTCAGGAAAAGCTTTAATATTTGCAGCAAAAAAACTCTGAAAATTGCCAGAATTTGTTAGTGGATGCAGATATATTATTATCAATGTACTTACTAAAAAAGTAATTAATTCTACCCAAATCACATGAGCTATTCCTAAAAGTCTTGATCGATTTCTTTAAACAAAAAAAAATTAGTATAATAATAATAATAACACAGTAATATCTATTATTTACGAATCATCCCATTCGATAGATGATCAAGCGAATTCACACCCACAACCAACCACCCAAAAGGCAGTAATTTCAAAACCAAATAAACATACCAAAACATATTTAGATTTTTAGGAGCAATTTGAGTATGGGCAACTTAAAATCATTAGCTTGTTTGCAAATCACGATTGTGAAGAAATATATTAATAAATGAAAGCTATTCAATTTGTACATTTTTTCACATTTTACGACCTTTTACATTTGAAGTTCATTACCATTGCTATTATTGTATATTTTTATTCATTGATATGAATGTTTATGTTATCACTTAAATTTCTTTGATAGTCTTGTTCAACACTTGGTTTAAGTCGTTTGTGGTCTTCCATTATGTCTTATGATGATGGGATTTGAAATATCGTCACTTTGGTTATCATTAGGTGCGTTATTCAAAGAATTTGTTGCTGATTATATATTTGAAAGAAATGCTTTCAAAGTAATCGTCAATTTATTTGTACATGTTGGCCTTTATTGCGCAATCGATAACTTCTTTAATAATCCAAGCAATTCTGCATATGCTGTCTTGGATCTATAAGCATTTAAGAAGAATCATTTATAATTGAACGAAATAAATATAATTGATTTGATGTTGTCGTTTATCACTGTCATTTAGTACAGGAGAAACGCATATTTGAATAGCTGAAATTTGTTGGATAAGGTCCATTTCATTAATATTTAATATTTGATCTTGATACCATCAGTTTGAATAAGGCTGACATGAGAGGGTGTTGATGAAGAATAAGTACCAACTCAAAAAATGGTGACACACCATACTTTTATTAATCAATAACCTTATGAAAAAAACCGTCTAAAAAGGTGTCAAATATATACTGTACGTATGAAACATACAGAATTCAAAATAGTAAACAACGTGTACAAAAAGTACGGAATTGTAAGCTTGATGTTCTTTTTGTGAATGAATAAAGATAATAATTTATATAAAAATTAAAGAGTGTGTGTGATGTTTAAAAATTTACTAGGGGAAACACAGATTGGAAAAATCTTCCAATTCGAATGTTTGGCTTGAGCAAAGGTTACGTAAAATTATAGCATTTTGGAATTGTATGGCGTATAACATTTATTATTATCAATGAATTAGGTTTTTATTTTTTTTTTCCAACAATTTTCATAATCTTAATAACAATAATAAACGTTTGTTATATAAATAATTTTAGCTTTGAGCAGATGAGTCAATTTTAGCAATATGTGAGATTAAATCAAGAACACGACAGGAATAACCATCTAAAAGAAGGAGCGGAAAAAATTTATTAATTTTGATTGAAAGCAAGAGAAGAAATTGATTTGTTAACAACTTACATTCATTATCGTACCAAGCAACAAGTTTAACATATGTTGGGTTTAATTGAATTCCTAAATAAAAAATATATAAATAAATAAATTAATTGATTAATTAAATACCTGTGGTGTGATATTATGATAACTATTACTTGCCAGCTTTAGCATCAAAAATAGTAGAATGAGTATTGCCAATAAAATCACTAGAAACAACCTAAAAATAGGCAAGCAAATCATTTAAATAGTTAAAATCAAGAATTATCTATCTGTCAAGAAAATAGTAATAATAGTAATAATACGATATATAATTATTGCAATTCGACTTACATCATCTTCAGTATAATCGATAATTCCTTTAAATTCATTTTCAGATGCACTTTTAATTGCTTGCTTAATTTCTTCATAATTGGTTTCTTTTGCCAATTTGACGGTTAAATCAACTACAGAAACAATTGTTGTTGGAATTCTAAAGGCCATTCCAGTAAGTTTTCCATTTAATGCTGGAATGATCTATATTTATATAAGTGTGTGTGTGTTTTTATGTTTATAAGTTATTCATTTTATGTAAAAGTCATTCGTTTTAATTAATACTAATAATAATAACTAGTTACTTTTCCAACTGTCTTGGCGGCGCCAGTTGAACTTGGAATGATATTTTGAGACGCAACCCTTCCTCTTCTCCGATCCTATCATATAAATAATGAACGAACGAAAAAATAAATAAAAAGTTCATTCACTTATTGATTTAATATCTATACTATTATTATTTACTTTTCCAGAGGTTCCATCAACAGTTCTTTGAGTTGCAGTGGTTGCATGAACTGTTGTCATTAAGCCTTCAACAATACCAAAGTTGTCATGAATGACTTTTACCAAAGGTGCCAAACAATTGCTTGTGCACGTTGCATTGGAAACAATTTTATATTCAGGTTTATAAGTATCCAAATTAGCTCCACAAACAAACATTGGTGCGTCGGCACTTGGTGAAGTAATAATAACCTATATATACATATACACATTTCACTATTAGAAATTCTCGTCCAAGATCGACATAAAAATTTTATGTTTGTTAAGGTTATGAAAAAATAAACTATGGAAATTAAAGCTTAAAGCCCAAGCTGCATTTTCTGATTGTTACTCTTTTTTTTTTTTATTGTCATAAAATTTTATATTAACAGTCAATATGTAAACTTCGGACTGGGCACTTTTTTTAAAAGGTGGGAGGGAGGGAGATCTACATTTTCAAATATCGGATGACAAATCAAAACAATAAATTACTTGCCTTCTTAGCACCCTAAAACAATTCATTCAATGTAAGGAAAAATTTTATATTAATACCAAAGATAACGATAATAATAATAATAATCGTTATTTAAATTTTCTCAATATTCAAAATAATGTAACATACCCCTAATATAATAATAAAATATAAATTAGTTTTATTTTAAAAAAATTTTTATTACAATTATGATTACAACAATATATAATATACCTTTCAAATGAGCAGAAGCTTTTTCAGTGGTGGTAAATACACCTGATGATTCAACAACATAATCGGTTCCAATCGATCCCCATGGGATTTGAATTGGATCTTTTTCTGAAAAGACCGAAATTTCTTTACCATCAACAACAAATTTTCCTTCTTTGATTTCCACATGGCCTTTATATTTTCCATAATTGGTGTCATATTTGAAAAGATAAACCTATTCATTTATTAATAATTTAGTTAAGGTAACGTTAAAATATTTATCTATTCTCAAACCTTGCCACGATGGATTATAGCTAAATTCGCGTTATAACAGCTTTTTAAATTTCTGTTTCATATTAATATAAAATATATTAATATAAAAAAAAACTTATAAAATCGGTTATGACGAGATCAGTATTTTCGGCGTAACGTTTTTAAATGAAATTCTCTTGTTATTATGATTATGTGTCCCGTGCATCCATTGTGACAAGGTTTGGCTTTATAGATATACATTGATACTACTGTTATGTCATACCACATAATCCAAGTCCATGAAAGGATCATTTATGCCGACAACTTGAACTTCGGGATTCTCAAGAGAAGCACGA